ACACACACACACACACACACACACACACCCCTCCTGTCTGCTCTGACCCTCAATGAAGGCGGTGATGGCTTTATTCCCATGCCCCCTCATCCACGGCTACTACCAGCAGCCCCACTCCCTGCATAGCCTGTACTGCGATCCCGAGCAGGCGAGGCAGGGCAGAGCCTCATGCAGACAGTGATGCCAAGCACATTTGGAGCCCCAGAGCATGCTGCTGCCTCAGCACCGGCAAGCCCCATGCAACCAAGCTCCTGCAGCCACCAGAGAGAAGCCACTTTTGCAAAAGTGCCTGGTGCTCAGCAGAACAGAACGTCCCTCGCGTGTCACCTTACCCCACTCACACACAGCCCATCTGTGGCAGCCCCAGTGCTCAGGCCCCTGCTCCATGCACGGTGTTGCCTTGAAGTGACAGCAGCAGCTGGTAACGGTTCCTTGGTTGCTGAGCACAGCACACGCTGACTGCTCCCCAGCTCTCCCTCCCCCTCCCACTGTTCGCCTGCACCTGTAGTCTGCCACAGGCTAAGGCCAGCGGTGAGGCGTGGGGCCTGGAGTATGCCACCAGGGTGCTCTGGGCACACAGCCATAATTAATTGGATGCAACGACCCAAAAAGGCCCAAAAAGTCGATAACATCATTTCTCCTTTTATCAGTGTTGATCCAATAGCCAACTGATATACTGGTGCACCCCTACTGGTCACCTTACAAAAATGCTTTTTATGATGGTTTTCACTATTGTAGCTGCATTTTATCTACCATTTCTAACAACTTTGGCCTTTCTTTACAGAAGTGACCAAGATGAACAAATCTTATACATACAATTAATAATTTACCAAATCAAAACTAAAAAACAAATGTTATTCATTACAAAACTAATTACCATACTACCAGAACCACAAAAAGAAATAATTAAATATGGCAAAGTTTCAGAACATAAAGTTAACTATGAAAAGTAAGAACTCCTAAACTCCAAGTTTGAAAAGCTTTTTTGGATACTGAAAGAAAGCATAAGTTCTAGGAATTTAGATTCAAGAACAAATTTGAGATAAATTTTAAATTTAAAAAAAGATTAATAGAAAACAGTGAGATTTATATTATACAAGTTCTAAGGAAAAGGGGGGCGAGAATAGAATTATTATATAGATTTCAAGTAACACAAAAGCTTAATAAACTGAAACAAAACTGTCAGAGACTGAAACAAAGAGAAGCCTGTGGACATGGACTCAAGTTAAGGAAGCACTGATGCTAGATATCTACATACATACGTTAGGGGACTGGATTTTTGGATTAACATCTTTAAATGTTAAATTTGTTATTTGGTAAGCTGGATTTCATTTATAAATAAAAAAAGTTTAAAAATGAAGTTTAAAAGAAAAAGGAAACTAAAATCAAGACTTGGCCAACCAATTTAAGGCATGTCCCCCAGAAGTAAGGAAATGACAGGTGAGATTGCCTAGGAGGAATATGGCAGCAAGCAGGCTTTAGCTCAAAGTCTTGCCTTCTGGAAAAAGGACCCGCGGTGGCCCAAGTTAAGATTTGCTGTTTTTAAAGTAGTTAGGGGAACTGAAAGAACCCATTTCATCAATACACAGGACTCACTAGCATCCTGCCAAACAATGTTCAGATCTAAATCCACAGGCTCAGCTGAAGCCTGGTGTCATTTGTATTTCTTGGGTTACTAGAATTAAAGTGAACTGTGAAAAAAGAGTCTTTTCTCAAGACACAGGCTGAGAGACCCTTATTGCACGTGCTTACAATATTAATGGAAAAGAGTGACATTAGTTTTCCTTCACAGGTGACCCCACTACTCATATAACAGCCTTAAGATAAACTTTATTCTCAGTTGTAAAAAAGAGAAGCCCGAGTAGAAATTATTCTTCAAATAAAAGAGTTGCAAAGCATATATATTACCAAGATCTTAGGGAGACAGACCTTATACTAGGGTTAAGGGGGAAGGAGAGGAAATCCTGTGTTTAAAGGATATCATTAAATGCGCAAAAGTCATCCTTGACATGACAAAGCTTTTAGGAATTTTTCTTCTGAAGTATTGACACTGTTTTAAACCATGGATTTTTATCCTAGAAACTCCTAGATGCTTAACAATAAGCTGCAACACACATACTGCATTTGTCTGAAAAAAGCCCAAAAAGGACCTGGAAGCGTGCATCTGTTTCATTTCAGATGTATGCATACATGTCACTTTCCTGCTGCTCTATTTACTTCATTCTTTTGGGCATGCAAAGAGCAAAGGAGTTCCAATAAACCTACGTGGAAATGCAATCAGTCTGTTCTAATAGTCTTCATTCTCTACAAGGGAAAGAGAATGCAACACTTATACGTGCATGAAAACCTAAGTACATCTGATAGAGGCTAACCACTGCAGACTTGACTACATACTTCAAACTCAACTGAAACAGACTAAAACTTAAAGAGATTTTTATAGGAATACTGTTAAAATATGTGGGCTGTTCAAAACTAATACTTTCCTGGCATCATCTACAGAAACACACAGATAAGACCAACATTTTGTCAGATATTAAAGAAAAAAAGTCTACATTTGTAGATTCAATATTAGAATAAAACATTCTTTTTAAAAATTAACTCCTTAAGCAGACAAAGCAGAAATACACAGGGACCAATAACTGAATGATGAAAATGATATACATTCCAGAAAAGCATAAGCAATGAACTCCCTCTCCATATTACCAAAAACTAATTAAATGTACAAAATTACCTCCAATCCAACTTCTCAACCAAAAAGGCACAGATAAGAAAACCCGTTCGATTGAAACCATGTGTACAATGAACACCTAGAAAACAAGCACATACAAATAATTTTAAATTATTTAAACAATGCTTCATGTGAATTCTTGACTAATTCTATATTTAGCCATCACTACCAAGGGCTCACACCCATTCCTACTGAGAAAATCTACATACATTTTATTATAAATATATTTATAAAAGAACATACAAAGCCAAAAAGGTATTTAAATTCACGTTAAGAGTTCTACATATCTTCAGTTTATGACACAACAGCAGCTCAACATGCTAACTGTTACTAGCATTGACATCTAGCTGAAACATGTACTCAGATGCCTTCTGATCAGGATTTAGAGGCCATAAGAGGAAGCAGTGTAGTCAATTCAATGACCACATGTTTTGCAGAGCAGTAGTATTTATTTCATCCTGTTCAGCACTAAAAAAAATCAAGATTACCCCAGATTCAAACATGAAAGTTATATCAATAAACCTCAATTCCATTTCAAAATGGCTATTAACTTGTTACTGGGTACTTAAGGCTACATTTCGCCAATTTAAATTTTGAAAGAAGCTTCTATGAAAAGAAACCCATAGAATAAATACCATAAGTCACTTGGAACTACTTACCTTTCCCATTTAAAGAGAGCAAAAGGTTAAATTATTAACTATTCTTCAGCCTCTATTTCATTGAACTTTCTCCAGTGAAGGGGGGAAAAAAAATTAAATGCGTCTATATTTCCCTTATTCCTAAGGTAACAGCACCACCCAGTGGCAAATAACCAGATCTGAAGGGAAGACCATCTCTTGCTGCTGTAAGAATTCTTTAAGGTGGATTTAATATCTTGCTCAAACTGCTACCCTGTCACCTTGGACTTTAATAAAAACTGACAAATATCACAATATTTGTTTAAGTATTTAATACCAACCCAAATTATTCTGGCTGTTAATATTCTGAATATCAGGACAAAATTTAAAAAAATCTCATCCATATCAGTAATGCTTACATAAATGTCTATCTTCTCAACCAAATTCAGAGAAGTTAAAAATTGAAGAGAGATTCAGCTGCAGTCTATTTGACCAAAATGTAAAGAGTTATTTATCTTCTATAGCACAAGATACTCTGGGATTCACCATTCTTTGAATAAACAAAAATAGCATTGTTTCAACAATGTACATTACTACCTGCCTTCATACTACAAGCAAAATAGTTATCATTGGTCAATGAGAGTTTTAAGCTAATTTGCTCATTATTGGCATGTATCATGCAAGCCAGTAGTAACCTTCTATAAACTGAAAAATACTTAATTTCTATACATCTGTAGGATATTAAAAGGTGCCGTTTGGAAAACACAAAATTTTCAGTAATTTAAAAAAAGAAAAGCTTCTCATGCATTTCTTGAGCGTCTTCATGTTTCCCCTACTAACCCTTACTAACAAGCTCTGTCTAACTTATTTCAGACCACAATGATTCTCAGCTCCTGACATCACAGTTTACTTCTCTTACAAGATCTTTGCATTGAATTTCCTCAAAGTTAGTAGGATTACTTTAGACTTGCAATTTTTTCAAACTCATTTAAAAAGGACACTGATTAAGAACTCAAAAATGTAATATAGGCAACAAGTATTTATTTGAAAGGGTAGAAAGATGATGTTTTTTTCTACCTCTTATAACTACAGGCAGTCCTCCACTTACAACGTTTTGAGTTACAACGTTTCTAAATTGACACCCTGTTTCAACTTTGACATCAGTTTCAACTTTACAACGCTTGATCTGATGCGACAC